CGGTGAGGCAGTGACAGTGAGAGTGGGGACGGTGAGGCAGTGACGGTGAGAGCAGGGACGGTGAGGCAGTGACGGTGAGAGTAGGGACTGTTAGGCAGTGACGGTGAGAGCGGGGACGGTGAGGCAGTGACAGTGAGAGTGGGGACGGTGAGGTAGCCCAGAGCAAGACTGCGGTAGTGGAAGGAAAAGATGGACTTCTTAAGTTACCTTTTTTATTCTTATCTTATTCTAAATTAATGTGAATGGCGGCATGCATGTACAGCATCTTTTTGTTCTTCAGTTTTTTTTTTTGGCAGAAGGCAGTCTGCTTCATTGGAGTGCAGAGCATGGTGGCAGCTAGCAGGCCTGGAGCAGGCCTTTGGCAGGGGCTTGTGGGAGGTGGTTTGCAGTTGGATGGGCTTGAGGGCCCGGTATTGGTGGAGGTGATGTCGGCAAGGTGGAAGAGCGATGTGTCATGCAGCTGCTGCCGAGGCAGGGGCAATTCCGGCTGCGTCTGGTGGTGGTCTGCTTCGGTGTCTCTGGTGGTATGGCCCAGACAGCTGGCGGTGACTTTGGCGATGAGATGATTTCGGCCTGGCATCCGGTGGCCCGGGATTCCATTGGGCAGTTTTTGCGACGTCCTCTTTCGCGGGATCAGTGACGAGATGGATCCTTGGGGCAGTTTCTGTGGAGTCTTGCGCCCCAGCACGGCAGTCATGCTGCTGTACTGTCTTTCCCTAATCCAGCAACCGTGAACTTAACCACAATGGGCATTGTCTTAATTTTTAACAGTTTTCTTTTCTTATCTACGCCTTCTGTTATTAACACAGGCACCATGGTACGGCGACTTAAACACTTTACACTGTAATTTTTTTGTAAAAAAATTCACATGACAACAAATGACTATTCTACTTGGCAAAACAAGCAACCAGCTAAATTAGAGATAGTAGGAAATGTAGATGCTGGAGAATCCGAGACAACAAGGTGCAGAGCTGGATGAACACAGCAGGCCAAACAGCATTGGCCTGCTGTGTTCAACCAGCTAAATTAATTCATTTATGAGACTGGAAGCACCAGGATAGTTACTGAGGACACACAAAACCCATAAGCTACTTACCAATATTTATTAAATATGTCCATTACAATCCAACGCTATAGATATGCATTTGTGCTCAATGTTGTATGTTTATAAACTGTTCCCACCGAGAGGTTGTGGTTCAGGTCAATATGAAGTGACCTCCTCAGAAGTGGCGAGTGGGGACAGTCTGGACAGGACTGGTAATAATTGAGCCAGTTTTAGGTACACTGTTGTAATATCAATGGTCAGTTATTCTTACAGCAATAGCTTCACCCTTCCATCTGAGAGGTGTATCTGCGCCTGTATCGTAACAGCGTCCAATATTCACCCTCCCATCTGCAGGTGAACACACGCCTCGGTTGCAGTGAAACACCATGCTTACCCTAACTGTCTGTTCCTGAGAGGTTTCTGAAATCAGGGTGTGATTGGACATCTCACTGGCAATGCTGGTTGGGCGCTGCCCACCTCCTCCTTCGCCTCGCACACCTCCTGCCCGGTTCGACATGTTAGCTCTGAAACAGCCAATGAAACTGCGTTAGAAAAAAAAAGAGATTGAACTATTCCCAAAAATCCCCACATTTACTGTTATAGACCTGTGAATACAACTGTGTGTCATGAGTTTGAGTGCATTGTGCTCATAGTGTATCCACACTTATGTGCCAATGCTGTGTATGTGTATTTAAATTCTGTTACATGCTGCGATCCTCTTTAACCTGGATGCAGTACAACGAAGAAAAATAATAATTCATTTAAAAATGTCAGTGGAATCCGTAATTTTTAAAAGAATGTTGCAAAGGCTTTTCCAGTGTTGGCATCCACTGTGAAAAGGATCAATTGTAATTCATTTGGATAATAAGAAATTCTGTGCGACGTGGTGACCCTTGGCCTGGAAGCTGTACCAATAGCAAGGAAATTAAGAAAGAAACCTTATGGCTGGCAGACACAAAGGAGAGGTACAAGCAAAAGAGCTGGAGGGTGAAGGTGATCAGTGCAAAGGACACAAAAAGAAAGCAGAGAAAGACAGAAGAAGAACACAGAGAACTCTTATAAAGAGAAGTAAGTCAATTTCAGGAAAAGCTTAGTTTTTCTGAAGGTACAGAAACTCTTTGAGAAACCACGTGAGTTGGCTAACGAGGTGTGAAACCTGGATGGTTGTATGAATAAGTCAGAGATGCTAAAGAACTGGATGTGTTCCCAAAGTGGCCAAACAGTGGCCAGCAGTGTGGAGACAGTAAGGACTGCAGATGCTGGAAGCTAGAGTCAGTAAATGTCGAGCTAGAAAACCATAGCAGGTCAGACAGCATCCAAGGAGCATGAAAGCCAGGGTCCTGACGAAGGGTTTCGGCCCAAATCGTTGCATTTCCTGCTCCTTGGTTGATGTCTGATCTGCTGTGCTTTTCCAGCTCCACATTTATTGACAGGGAACCTTAGTTTTATTTGTTGGTCCATTGAAATGCAATTCTGAAAAGTTGCAGCTTCGAGGTTGTTACCACATGAAAGAGAAAGGGTTTGTAGAAACATGTGTGCCTTGCTGGTGATAAATGTACCCATGAAATCTGGAGGTTAGAGGATTTGTAGGGCAGGACTCCTGACCTACCTTGTAAGCAGCATATTGTGGCTTGGCATAGCTACAAAGTGTCACGCTTGTGGAAGAAGTGACTCAAATGCTTATGGCTGCTTAAGATGTACCTTCATGGCTATTCAAAATAAAATTATCACTTTATTTGAAGTATTATTAGCCTATTAATTTATATGTAAATTGTATTGGTTCTGATTCAGGGTAGAGTTAATCCTACAAAAAATATAATTTTGTTGGTTGTTTCTTCATATGGAGGTTGTTCAGTAAATATTAGTTTTCCCTTAGGGATCATAACAATGTTATATACTTATGCATTGTATTGATATATTATGCTTGTGGTGTATGCTGTATCTCCATATGTGGTTTTCTGTGTTAAACCAAATTGGATATGATATCGAGCTCAAGGTTTTTGACTGAACCAAGTCAAAAAGCATTTTACTGAAATAAGGCCTGAAATTTCTACAAATTCTCTCCCATTCAATTTCCAAATTCTGAATCGCTGATGTTTGAACTGGTCACAGAGTAGCCGTCACGCCAAAGGAAAATTGCTAGGATTTAATCTTTTTGTTCCCATAACAGTTTTGTAATAATTCAGTCTCACGGTCTCATACGGACAGAAGGAATATTCCTCAGTGGGAATCGCCTAGAGGGAAAAATCTCCTTCCACATTCTCTCTGCTTCATTAACACCCACGGATACTGTTACAGAATTTACAAAAAATTCATTTTCCAGGCACTCCTTTATAATGAACGTGAGGCCAAACTTCAACATTACACATCCCTTCTGGACATGAAAAGATTCAACTGTGTTTCAAAGGGAGCTGGGTAATGCTCTCCAGTGTCTTGGCCAATATTTATCCTTCAAACAACATCAATGAAACAAATTATCTGCTTGGTAATACATTGCTGCTCCTGGGAGCCTGCTGTTGCAAACTGGACATTTGCTACATGAGAGGGGTGGAGGTTGTGGGTTACAGCACACTGTAGCGTGCACGATTACATTCACGTCGTATTCCGGAGCTATGGGTAATGGTAGTAGAGATTCCAATTTCTTTCCATTACATCCTGCTCTCACTCCCTGCCATTGGAACATGTTGGAAAGTGATGCACAATCTGGCCTCGTTTATGAACACACATTCCATAGCTGTCAAGTCCCAATGGCGAGATATAAACCCAGAGCTTTTACTCAGAGACAGGAAAGCTCAGGAGCTCCTATTACAACGGTGACCGCCATTCAGAGGTATACCATAAGCTCTAAAGCATTTTGCCATACTTGAAAGGGGCTATATAAATGCAAATAGACTTTGACGCACAGAGCACAATTCTGCAATTTAAGGATAATCAGAAACTTGGAAGCGTTATGAATTACAAGGATGATAGTTTAAACTTCAAAAAGGACACATGCAGATTGGTGGAGTGGGTGGATAAGTGCCAAATCAAATTTAATGCAGAGAAGTGTGAAGTGAATTATTTTGGCAGGAAGAGCGCAGGGAGGCAATGCGAAATAAAAGGGTACAATTCTAAAGAGGGTGGAGGAGCCAAGGGACCTGGGTGTGCATGTGCACCAGTCATGAATGTGATAGGGCAGGTTGACAGTGGGCTTAATAAAGCAATACAGTATCCTAAGCTTTATTAAAAGGGGCATCAAGTGCAAAATCAAGGAAGCTATGTTAAACTTATATAGAACACCAGTCCAGTCTCAAACAGAATACTGTATTCAGTTCTGGGCACCCCACAGTGTAGAAAAGATATGAATTGAGAGAGTGCCAGAAAGATTTATGAGAATGGTTTCCAGAGATGAGAAACTTTACCTAAATAGATAGATTGGAGAAGCTGGGACTAGTGATTTGATAGAAGTATTCAAGATTTTCAGGATCTGGGCAGAGTCGGAAGGGAAACAATGCTCCCAGAGGTGGAAGCACCTAGAACAAAGGGGATGGATTTAAGGTAATTGGCAAAAGAAGCAATGGTGACACAGGAGAAACCTTATCATGCAGTAAGTTATTGGGATCTGGAATGCACTGCCTGACAGTGTGGTGCAGGAAAGTTCAATTAAGGTATTCAAAGGGAATTGGATTGTTATTTGAAAAGATAAATATGCAGGATCAAAGGGAGAAGGCAGATGAGTGGCACAATATAAATTGTTCCAATGGAGAACCAGTGCAGATGGGATGGATGAAATAGTCTCCTTCCACGCTGTATTGAATCTGTGAAGTCTTTCTTCTCAGTAGTAGCACAGAATCTTTTGTTTATTCGACAGGAGAATTGGATAAGCCTAAAGAGGCAAGATTTGCAAGGCTTCTGGGGGAAAAAGATACAGAGAACTGGCACTGGCCTCGTTGCTCTTGCAGAGAGTTTGCATGGGTTTGATGAGTCGAATGGCCTCCTCGCTGTTACAATTCCTAAATCCTGAGAGGGTAGAATGTGTCAGAGATAGTAGGAACTGCAGATGCTGGAGAATCTGAGATACCAAGGTATAGAGCTGGATGAGATTACTGAAGAAGGGTCTAGGCCCAAAACGTCAGCTTTCCTGCTCCTCTGATGCTGCATTGCCTGCTGTGTTCATCCAGCTCTACATTTTGGTATCTAGGGTAGAATGTGTCTTGGTTTAATCTTTCATCTAAAAGCCAGCACCTCTCCCAATCAGATGCTACCCCAGTACTGGTGGGGTGGAGGTATAAAAATTATTGGGGTTATATAAAAAAACACTGGGGAGGTTGTTATAAAAACTATTGGGGGTTATACACACACTGGGCTGGGGGTTTATACAAACACTGGACTGTTGAACTTCTGGCTGACGGGTGGGCAGATTGGAGGCTGTGCAGTTGCTGCTAGGCCGTTTTCCGAGCATACTGCCACACCAATATCCCACGCACCCCTTCCTTTAAACACCACCTGCCCCTAGTGTAACAGAGCCTGCGGTACCTGTATTGGTCTGTACAGCCACCTACGGACTGACCCTGAGGGTGGAAGAGACTCATCCTCGTGTGTAAGGGACCACCAATGACTGGGCGTATCAGCTTAGGTATTGTACTTGAATGTGCAGCATAAGTCTTAGTATCACCCAATCCGCTACAGCTGCGGAAGTTCTCTATTTTTCCCCTCGGTTACACTGAAAACAGAAGCTCTATCTTAAGAAGAATAATTCCAGGCAATGAAAGATCCAGATCCTTCTGGAAGCCAATATAAAACGAGAAGAACAACACAAGAATTAGCATCATGAGTAAGCTGTTTTACCCCTAGAACCTGTTGTATAGCCATAGAGTCATACAGCATGGAAACAGGCCCTTCAGTCCAACTCTTTCATGCCAACCAAGTTTCACAAACTAAACTCATCCCATTTGCCTGCATTTGGTCCATATCCCTCTCAACTTTTCCTATTCATGTATCTATCTAAATGTCTTTTTAAATGTTGTAACTGTACCTGCATCAATTACTTCCTCTGGCAGTTCATTTCACTCACAAACTACCCTTTATGAGAAAAAATTGTCCGTCAGGTCTCTTTTATACCTTTCTCCCTTCATCTTAAAAATGCACCCCTATTTTTGTACTCCCCCACCCTGGGAAAAAGACGTTTGCTTTCACTTTATCTTTGCCTCTCATGATTTTATAAATCTCTAAAAGGTCACCTCTCAACCTCTTATGCTCAGTGAAAAGAGTCCCAGCACGTCCTTGTAACTCAAACGCTTTAGTCCTTGCAACATCCTGGTGAATCTGTTCTGAACCCTCTCCAATTTAATAACATCCTTCCTATAGCAGGATGACCAGAACTGTACACAGTACTCCAGTGGCCTCACCAACATCCTGTACAATCTCAACATTATGTCTCAACTCCTATACCCGATCATCTGAGCCATGAAGGTAAGCATACTAAACCTAATCAGCCCATCTACCTGTGATGCAACTTTCAAAGAACTATGTACCTGGACCCCTAGGTCTCTCCGTTCGACAACAGATGGAAGGAACTAAATGGATCCCTCAACTCCACTTTCCTGCCTGTCCCCCATAACCGTCAATTCTCTTGTCAATAAAAAGTCCACACAATGCAGCCTTAAATATATTCAATGGCCAGCGTCACCAGGGCAAGAGAATTCCATAGACTAACAACACTCCAAGATTGACTTAAATGGGAGACACAATTTGAAGTACTTTGAATTGTTATTCAAATGTGAGAGGTAACGTCTGACATAGAACTGGAGGCTTCTTGAATTTCTCTTAGCACAAACCAGTGTCAGTGAGAAGAAGCATCCTATTTTGTTGTTGCCTTAGGGTTGAGAACGTTGTCAAGAGACTGAAAGGATGAGTATCTTGGATCTGGCTCCACAGCATGTCTATCAACAGTTATTTATTAAGGCCAGAACAGTAAACCACGAGTATTGGGTTGAACGTACACACACACACACACACACACACACACACACACACATACACACACTTCCCATTTACAGCTACTGCATGTGACAAATCGAGGGGCAGGTGACGAATAGGAACTTTCAAAACCTCTCAGATGATACAGACTTTCATATTTTAGAACTCACTCAGAACAAATTCACATCTTTATAAATTCCACTAGCCCTTAATACCTTGCCGGCTTACAACAGCATCTGGTAAGTTTCAGAGGGACAGAGGCAATTTTAAACTAACCTGTCTTTTGGGAAGTCAATGAGACTCTGTCCAATTTTACCCTGCAATTAAGTTGGGGATATTATATTGGTCAGAGGAGTATACATCCTATGCTTCAGCCTATTCCTGAAATTCACGTCTAATGGGTTAAAGTTATCACTCCCCTGATGAAATATATCTTTGGATGGTGAAAAAGTAAAGTGTCTGAATTATTACCTCATTTCTACATTGAGGCTTCTATGAGCCCAAAGAGAGATTGCTACTGGGTCATGCACAAATTTGTACCCAGCATCTGCATGGTAGGCTGCAGCTCTTTTTAGATTTGAGTAGTTGATTTTGTGAATATTTCCTGCTGGCTGAAGGCGTAATTCTCAATCACCACGGAGACAGTACTTGGTCTGCCTCCAACTATTTTACAATGTTGTGTATTGTTAAAAGAACACACAATATGGGCTTTGGTCCTTCAATAACATCCTGAAAATAAACAGCAAGTTGCATTCATGAAGCACCTTGAGCAGATCAATTCATGTCAAGAAAGTTGATAAGAGTGTACCTTTTGAGCCACCAAAGGGGATATTAATGATGATGACCAAAAGCTTGGTCAAAGGGGTGGGTTTCAAAGTACATCTTAAAGAGAAAAGAGGAGGATAGAGATACAGGACAATTTAGAGTGGAGGGCCACTGTGAAATGACAGCATGGCCACTGTTCGTAACTTGGAGATAACTTGCAATGATGGAGCTGTACCTCATTGGGCATAAATAGCACAGTGAGTGGAGTGATTTAGTTTAGGAGGTGTTTGAGAAATTGATGGAAAGCACATGCACAGAATCTTTCAATAATGTAACAGTAGACTAAGGGCTAAGTCTACCTCAGATTCTCGCATATAGAAGTAGCTAGTAATAATATTGATAAACAGAGTCCTAAAGAACCTAAGCCAGAAGACACTTCTTGATTTGTCTTCTCTTCTGCCAGTCTGTCTTGAACCCAAATTCTTGGATGTTGGCATAACATCACATGACAAAAGAGCCACGAATGGTGGAGCAATCAACGTCAGAATCATGCAACAGACCAGAATAAAATGCTATTTCTAGCTTATTTAGTTCAATTACCAATTTAAACAGCAAACAGCTGTGTGTTTGAAAATAAACGCAAGGTGTAAGGACAGAGATCTTGCATTTTTTTTAATCCAGCTTTGCAAAGACCAGCTCAGTGATTGAATCCAGCACGTAAATGATTCCTACAGAATCTTTGCTCTAATCATTGATAAGTTAACTGATCTGAAACTGGGTTTACAACACAGGCTTGACATTCTCCCAGAGCCACTGCTCAAGGGAAAGGTTAATCAAAACTATTAGCCTGGATGCAGTCACACGCTGTTGGCAAAACCGCAGGCACCTGCTGTGAAGACTTGCATGTGATAAATGAAATTTTGACAAGCTGGTGGAATGTTGTCAACCCCAAGGGAACTAAAGCCATTCAGGAGGTGGGAGACAGAAAGACAACTGGGACCTATGAAACTATGTGTATTATAGCGCCATACCAGCTGGTGAAGTACAAAATTAGACACAAATACTTTCCTTGCTGAGAGATTCATTGATAGAATGCAACACCACAAATGTCTGCTTCTTACTGATTGCAACCCACAGCCCTCACAGTGTCACTTTAGATAGTTTCTAATCAACCTGTTCAGAAATGTTATTACACACCTCTGAAGCAGGTGGGACTTAAACCTGGGTCTCCTGACTCAGAGGTACAGATACTACCACTGTGTCACAAGAGCCTGAGCAGTCTTTATTAATATTCTTAGGGATTTGAGATCAATTAAACTAAATGAACCAATTTAGCAACCCTTTAAAAGGGTAGTGTTTCATTAGGTGTTTCCTCTTTCTATACTACTTTTTTTCTCTTATGTCATTTTGAAATAACCAGAGGAAATAAAGTGCAATATTGAAACTAATCCAAACAAACTGAACAAATTTAGAAGGTGGCAACCCATTAATGGGGATCTGTAACTAAGGTCAAATTGTAACGTTGTATCTCACTGGAGCTGAGCATTGATAATCAATCTGCCCCTAAGTCCAGAGCTATCACAGAAGTTAACAATTTTATAAAAGTAAACAAAATTCCCCAATTTACCAGTCCTTTAGACCCAGGTTGACAGAAAGCACAGACCAGTTTAGAAGGATGTTAGCAGGACTGGAGGGTTTGAGTTCTTAGGAGAGGCTGGACTGGGACATTTTCCCCTGGAATGTAGGAGGCTGAGGGGTGACCTTACAGAGGTTTATAAAATCATGAGAGGCATGGATAGGGTGAATAGCTAAGGTCTTTTCCCCAGGATAGGGGAGTCCAAAACCAAAGAGTGTAGGTTTAAGGTGAGGGGAAAGATTTAAAAGGGACCCGAGGGGCAACTTTTTCACGCAGAGGGCATGTGTGTATTGAATGAGCTGCCAGACAAAGTGGTAGCGGCGGGTACAATTACAACATTAAAAAGACATTTGGATAGGGACATGGATAGGAAAGGTTTAAAGGGGCATGGACGAGTTGGACTGAAGCCTCTGTTTTTACGGTGTATGCCTCTACGACTGTAATAATTACTATTTATTTAAAATAAATAGATTCTATCCGAGTAAGAGCCATCAACCTTCTAAATTTGTCAACATATAACTTCACTTATTAAAACTCTAACTCCCAAATAAAGTTGGCGCTGCACACACATATAGATACAGACACACAAAAACATGAGTATTATGGGCAGAGGGAAAAACTGGAAAAGCAGTTCAATGGTCCCTACCCACAGAATTGCTGAGATGATCCTTTGGGTTGTCGTCGGAACCTGATGCTCCTCGATCTTCCTTCTTCAAGTACTTTCATGTATTTGCACAAGGCACAGAGCAACTGGTTCACACTTACAAAGTCTCTGACCTATTGGATAAAAGCTACAGCTTACAGCAACAGATGAGGGGAAAATAAACTGGCCTTCTTCAGATTGGAGGTGTTTGCTATTGCAGAGAAAGGCAAGCTCCTTCCTTTCAAGAAGACCAATAGCTTCTACCTCATCATTCACAGCCACAAGATGTTCAGCTACATGGGAGCCAATTACATAACCTTTTGTGACAGAAGGCTTTTGTCATTGAAATTGGGCACTGTTGCTGGCTGAATCTCCATTGTACTCCTTTGGCTCCAATTCATGTCTAACTAAACTTCCCCTCACTGCTTGAACAAACAGCGATGTAAAAAGTACTTAAAACAAACAGCTGGTTTTAAAAAGTGCAGCAATCTTTGATTTTTAAAACACAATCCTTTTCCCTTCTCAATCCACAATCAAAAACTCAGAAAATTAAAAAGATATAGTCTTTACAACAAGAGAAATTTACAAAGTTTAAACTAAGATGTGATTGGGCATGGGACAAAATGCGCTTCAGCTCACCAGTTGAGGCAGTCTACATTTATACATGTTCTAAGATACTTTCTAATCAGCCTGTTCATGAATGCTATTACACACCTCTAGAACAGATGGGGCTTGAATCCAGGCCTCCTAGCTCAGAGATAGGGACACTACCACTGCACAAGAGCCCCAGAATTTTTCTCAGGAATTAATTAATCTATATCCTCCACTTGCATCTTAACAATACCATTAACAACAATCTGAAACAAACAATGACTTGGCAATGAGAACCCATAAAACACAAGCTCTTCAGACAAGGTGGCAGATAGGTTGATAAATAGATACTTGCACGCATTGAATTAGACTGTTGTTAGAAGAGGAAGAAGGAGGACGGAACAAAATGGTGATAAGGAAAGAAGTAAAGGGCACAAGAGACTTACTTGTCTTCCAGTTTGAAGATGCAGTTCTCAATAGGCACAACCCCTGTCACTGGGTCCTGGAAAGCAGTTGTTCTGTCATTGTGGCTGAAAAACAATGGAAGAGGTTGAGCACTGAGCAGTATTTATTCCATTTATTTAGCCAGTGTTGACTGTGTCTGCGCAGTCACTCCAAGCGTTAGGGAGCTCACTTGCTACCGTTCAGGCGGATGTGTCTCACTCCGAGACAGGGCTGAGACCACTCTCCATCTGTGGTTGAGAGGGCAGGCAGACAGGCTGTTCTAACTCTCTCTCCAGTGCAATGGCTTCATAGGCAAAGTACACAGTCTAAGGCTCTCCCAACAAAAGAAGGGCTGGAGCCCATTGAAAATCCCTGGGCTGTATGCAGCAGAAAATGTGAATATGAATATAACCCACAACTGTAAATGCAGTTGGAGTTGGGAGATCATTTCATGAAGGCCCCTGGAAAATAGCTAATCAGCATTTGCAACATTGCAAAAATTACCTCTTTGTTTAGGAGGTCAATTCAGACCTGAATGAATCTCTAGCCAACACCCTGATAGTCGGAGTTCCCTTCGGTCAATTGGGACTTTAAAAGGAGACTTGTCTGAAAACTCCCAATGTACTCCTTGCTGAAGATTTACTCAACCCTCTCAGCCATAATCAAAACTATTGATGAATATAGAAATCTTAGTGGCATTATGTTCTGACCCAAATTCCTGACCCCACCTACCAATTCCACCTGCCAATTAAACTTTCCATTCCCACCCACCCCAGAATTTTACCTGGTTGGAAGTCCAGCTCCCATTCATTGTCTCTAGTTCTGATAAGAGTAAGTCACAACTGAAAAAAGGCTTAATACACAGTGGAACATTGAGATTTGCTCTACAATGCCCAGGACTATGTGTGCTACGTTCAAATTAACTGATATTTAGGAGAAACATGTTAAAAGCCTTTTTAAATTCATTTATGGAATGTGGGCATCTCTGGTTGGCTCAGCATTTATTGCCCACCCCAGCTGCCCTTGAGAAGGTGGTGGTGAGCTGCTTTCTTGAGCCACTGCGGTCTATGTGCTGTAGGTAGACCCACAACTCCGTTAGGGAGGGAATTCCAGGATTTTGATCAGGCAACAGTAGAGGGACAGTGATATATTTCCAAGTCAGGATGGTGACTGGCTTGGAGAGGAACTTGCAGAAGCTGGTGTTCCCAACTATCTGATGCCCCTGTCCTTCTAGATGTTAGTATTCATGTGTTTGGAAGGTGCTGTCTAAGAAGCCTTGGTGAATTTCTGCAGTTATACTCTGACGTAATCTTCTTCACTGTCCATCTAAACCGTATTTTGGTGTCATCTGCAAACTCACTAACCATGCCTCCTATATTCACACCACCGATGTTCAGTAGCAGCAGTGTGTATCTCTACAAGATGCACTGCAGGTCCTTTTTAAATCTTTTCCCTCTCAATTTAAACCTATGCCCCCTAGGTTTGGATTCCTGCACCCAAGTAAAAAGACTTTGCCAATTATCCTATCCACGCTCCTTCTTCACACAGAGGGTGGTGCGTGTATGGAACGAGCTACCAGGGGAAGCGAAGGCTGGTACAATTACATTTAAAAGTCATCTGGATGGAAAATGAATAGGAAGGGCTTAGAGGGATATAGGCCAAATGCTGGCAAATAGGAATGGCCAGATTGGGATGTCTAGTTGGCGTGGACAGGTTGGACCAATGGGTCTGTTTCTGTGTTGTATGACTGTATGACTCTATGTCTCAAGCTTCCTAAGTGTTGTTGGCACTGCACTATTTCAGGCAAGTGGGGAGTATTCCATCATACTCCTGGCTTGTGCCGTGTAAATGGTGGACAGGCTGCAGGGAATCAGGAGTAAAAGACGAACATGTTGGAAGAACGCCACCAAGTTTAGCAACAGATAAAAGCCATGCAGTGAAAGAAATATAACGTCAAGACAATAAGAAATAAGAACAGAAGTAGGCCATTCAGATCCTTCAGCTCACTCTGCCAATCAACAGGATAATGGCTGGTCCAACACTCCTCATGTCCACCTTCCTGTGTTTCCCCTGTAACCCTTGATTCCCCTGCTGATCAAGAATCAATCTATCTCAGCCTTAAATATATACAAGAACTCTGCCCCCACAGCTCTCCGTGGCAAGGAGTTCCACAGACTCATATCTCTCTAAGAGAAGAAATCCTCCTCATCCCTGTCTTAAACTTTGCACCTCCTTTATTCTGACTTCTCTTTATTCTCCCAAGAGGGGAAATATCCTCTCAACCTTTACTCTGTCAAGACCCTTAAGAATCCTAGACGTTTCAATGATATCAAGTCTGATTCTTCTAAACTCCAGTGAGTGGAGTCCCAACCTGTTTAGCCTTTGTTGGTGGGACAATTCCTCCATACTGGGGATCGTCCTGGTGAACTTTCCCTGAACTGCCTCCAATGAAATGATATCTTTCCTTAAATAGGGGGACCAAAACTGCTCATTGTGTTCCAGATGCGGTCTCAACAGCACCTTGTACAGATTTCCTCACTCTTATACTCCAACCCCCTTGAAATAAGAGTCAATATTCCATGAGCCTTCCTGATTACCTGCTGTGAGTTAACTTTCTGTGTTTTGTGCACAACTATCCCAAGCACATATGTTACAGTTTTCTGCAGTTATTCTCCATTTAAATAATACTGTTCTTTTGTTCTCCCTTTCAAAGTGAACAATTTCACATTTTCGCACATTATGCTCTACTTGCCAACTTTTTGCCCAATTACTTAGCTTATCAATACCTCTTCGTCAACTGTTTAAATCCCTCTCACAACTCGCCTTTCCACCTACTTGCGTTGTCTGCAAATTTGGCTACAGTACTTTCACTTCCTTTCTCCAATTCATTAACATATATTGTAAACAGTTGCGGTTCCAGCAATGATTCCTATGGTATCCCATTAGTCACCAAACTGAAAAACAACCCCTGATCTCCACTCACTGTTTCCTACCCATTAATCAATTCTCTATCTATGCCAATATATTACCCCTAAATCTGCCGCCTCTTCAGTGATCTAATTCATCTCCCTGCATTATCATTCTCTTCCTACATCCTTTATCTCTGTAAATACTTTTAATCGAATTCTGAACTCACATGCTGTCTGTGTCAACAAACTTTCTCGACGCTTCATTTATTTAATGCCTTTTGTGTAGTAGAGTAGCGTAAGATGCTTCACAAAACGGTGATCAGACAAAATGTGAGACAGAGTCACGTCAAGAGATATTGAAAGAGGAGAGATCGAAAATTTGGTCACAAAGGTATATTTTAGGATCCAACTTAAAGGAGAAAGAGAGTCAAAGAGGTGTTTAGCTAAAAAAAATCCAGGGTATAGGGCTAAGGCAGCTGAAGGCATCGCTATCATTTCCTGAATGATTAAAATCTTGGACTTGCAAAGAGACTAGACTTAGATCTTGGAGGGTTATTGGGCTGGAGAAGGTTACAGAGATGAGGGGAGGCTGAGAAAATGGAGAATTTTGAACACAAGGACAATCATTTAAAATCTGTTCTGAGAAAGGTCACTCAACCTGAAACATTAACTGTGATTTCTTTCCACAGATGTCGCCAGACTTGCTGAGCTTTTCCAGCAATTTCTATTGTTGTTGATAATCTTTTTAAAACTAAGGTATAGGGAACCAGCGAGAGGAAAAATGGTGGGTAATTTTGACCTGTGTTCTGATTGTTGCTGTTAACCTCCATATTTTTCCACAGGTATCATGGAGTTTGAACCTTTCACTGTGGCAAACAATCACAATGGCTTAAATTTCTCAATCCACTTCAAACCAGCAATTAATTCTCCTCTAGTTCAAAAAAAGACAAAGTCCCTGTGGGGAGCTCACTCAGGATTCAGGAGGTTGGGGTTCAAGTCGCATTTTAAGCACAAAATCCCAGGCTAACAGCCCGGTACATTACTCAGGGATTGCTGCACTGTCAAAGATGCTGTCTTTAGGACGAGACATTAAAACTGAGTCCTCATTTGTCCTCTCAGGTGGACCAAATAAAATTCCATGGCGTTATTTCGAAGAAGAGCTGGGAGAGTTATCACCAGTGTCCAGCTAATATTTATTACTCAACCAACAGCCCCAAAAATGGTCATCTGGTTATTATGACATTGCTTTTTTGAGCCAGCTTCCCAAGCACAATTTAGCAGACATGCTTCTGACACTGCAACTGCTGTGACCATTGCATCAAATCACTACTGACCAAAGTGGCTGAGTGCTCAAGGACATTTCCACTAGACTGGGTCTGCGGCACATAGTGAGGGAGAAGAATAAAGACAGGCTAGATCTCATCCTCACCAACATATTGGTCGCAGATACAGCTGCACATGGCACAACTGATAGGCGAGACCACTGCACATCTTTGTGAACAGAAAGTCTCACCTTCGTACTGAGGGTACCCTGTACTGTCAGGTGTGGCACTACCACTGTGCTAAATGAGACAGACTCAAAACAGATCAAAATCATAGAATCATTGAATCCCTACGGTGTGAAAACAGGCCCTTCGGCCCAACAAGTCCACACCGACCCTTGGAGCAAGCCACCCACACCCATCCCCCTATAACCCACCTAAGCTACACATCCCTGAACATTACGGAACATTTAGCATGGCCAATCCACCTAGCCTGCACATCTTTGGAGTGTGGGAGGAAACTGGAGCACCTGGAGGAACAGATCAAAACTGGGCATCCATGAGGCGCTATGGACCACAGCAGGTGAACAATATTCAGCAACAATCTGTAAGTTCAAGGCCAGGAACAGCCATCAGTCTATTACTATCGAGCCAAGGGGTCAATACTGGTTCAATGAAGCATGCAGGAGGGTATGCCATGAGCAGCACCAACAAAGCTAAAAAATATGGTGTCAGCCTGGCGAATCTACAATGCAGGACTGCTTTCATGCTCAATTACAGAAGGAGCAAACAACAGACAGAGGTATGTGATCCCACAACCAGTGGATCAGATCTAAGCTCTACAGCGCTGCCACGTCCAGCCGTGAATGGTGGTAGACAACTAAACAAGTCACTTCAACGGGATGCTCTACAAAT